AAGCAGCTTTCATCCAGCAGCACTGCTTGTAGCAGCACCTGGTTAGAAGCAGCTTAAAGCAGTGTTTATGAGGTGGTAAAGGAGCACTAATACATACACTCAGAAGGTCCAAATAACAGTGTTCACTAAAATCCGCCCTCAGCACACAAAGACCAGTCATGAAACCATTGCCACATATATACAGTGCTGCCACACTGGACTTCCACGAGAGGAATGTGCCAACACCTTGGAGAAAAATCATGAGGTGATACTCACAGGTCCAGCACAATAGAACAGCAGCAGATGTTGATTGTGAAAGGTATTCCTTGCGGTAACATGTTGGCACTACACTCTGTGGGAATTCCCAATAAATTGCAATTTTTGTATGAAAATAACACTTTCAAGGTTATAAACAGAATTTGCCAGCAGTAACAAAACATAATGTCTGACTTCAGTTGCTGTCAAATGTTTAGACGCTTCGGTGTACACCTGTCTCAGTATTTGTTTTAGCTGTCACTCGGTAGGACTTCTACAGATTTTATATTTCACTGCTGTTGATTATGAAATATTTGTCATTATGATGTCCTAAGCAAAGCTACTGATTGCTCACTCTTGCCTTATTTATATAAATAAAGCTAGATTCCAGCTCAGAAAAACATGGTAAGCTGTCGGAAGATAAAGAGGGGGAAGGTACCTTACTAGGCTTGAAATGTAGGCCTGTGCAAACCTCAAGAAGTTCAACAAGCACAAACTGTTATTTAATTATCATTTAAAACTTTAAACCTGAGCAATCAAGCCCCAAAACCCATAAGAAAAAGCCTAGTTTTATTACAAAACATACCTAGAAACCTGTATTTACTGTCAGCAAGCCGTAAGACTTCCTCTAGAAATTGCTTTAAATCCGGGCTAGTAATTGAAGTACTGACAGTAGTATGGTAAACAGACAATTCAAATGACACTCACTGAGAAAATTTTCTGGCTAGAAATGAATCAAAAAAAATCAACTGTTCTGAGCCTAAATAGAGATATTCCACAAGTTACCATATAGCCTTGCGATTTGTTTTCAGCTTTAGGGATCAAATGAGCAAATAAACTCAGTCCTTTACTGAGGTTTAAGGGAGAAGGTAAACACAGATTTTGGTATTTAATTCAAAATATTTCTATAGCCTTAATAAAACTATAGCTTATCTACAGGTGGAAAGACAACATATTTAGTCCCCAGCATTTCTGATTGCAATCTGACATCAAACTTATCTTTATAGTCTCACTCTTTGAGATATTTACACAGCAAGTATTTACCCTCTATAAAATAGGTTTTAAATAAAACTGAATTAACTTATGGATGGTGATAACAAAAAAATAAGGAGCAAAATGACAGCATCACCCAAACAATTGAGACCTTATGCTCAAATTCTTTGTGGATCAAGAGCTTTTTCATCAACAGCTAAAGTTATTCTTACTCCATATAGTATTTCATCCATTGCCAAAACTGAATTATTTTATTAATGCCATTTTAAGGCATTCAGTTTCTGTGGACCGCACAGAAAGCAACAAGATACAGAATTTAGATAAAATAAAGCTATTTTGCATCTTCAGCAGTTACCTTCACATTTAAATGCAGAAGGTTGGCATTTGGATGCAAAAATGTTCTCTTGCCACTTCTCCAGACAACAGGGAGGTTTCTGTAATTACCTGAGATTTTCTGGTTGGCTTGCCACCTGTGGTGATGCCAGACGTGAAGGGGAACAGCCAGCACACATCTGTGACAGAGCTGCATGCTGGTGAGTTCAGAAACAATGGCTATATAGAGGACACAGTGTGCTACAGCAACAACAGCTATGCTAGTTATGACAGCATTGCAGAAACAATAAAAAAGTTAGTTTTAAAACTAATTCACTAATCCCATCATGTGTATATTTGCAACTTCAATGAGTCAAGCACATATTTTATTTCTCTTTATTGGAAAGAAGGAGGGTAAAAAAGCCCCAAGCCAACCTTCTTCCAGCTTCTTAACCCTGACTTCCCCCAAGACCATCTGAGAAGCTCTACAGGTGAAGTCAGGAAACCACCCATTTCAAATCAAACACATCCTACCCGAAGGTGAATTTTCAGGGAAGACACCAGTGGCTGAAAAAGAACCAAAAGTTTGTTTTTTCCCCTTTGCACCATCTGGAAACAATTTGCATCTGGAGATAGCATGAACTTAATTTTACAGGGGCCTCCTCCTCATCAAACATATCAGTATGTTTACCACAATAAATAAGCATCTTGAGGAATTCTTCTTACTCTGCTTGTAGCCAAACAAAGACTAACACAGGCAACATCATCACTTGATTACATTCAAGTTTAAACAGTTTCACGTCTTTCCTCAACTCTTGTCCACTCAATAAGCAAAATGTTTTTCTGATTCTTACAACAGTACCTACACTATCAGCTGTGTCCCTTTACTGTGCTGCCCTGCTTCACAGGAGTTGCACTTTACCTGGCTTACACCATTCTTTCCCTTACTCCAGCAACCTTCACTGAACTTGCCCCTCAGGATGTAATTCACCTCAGGGTACGTGTGGTTTTTTTCTTTTGAAATGAGCAAATTCTGTACTGATCATAACACAGCACTGATTAGGGCTAAACTCAGGACTCGATTTACAACACTGCAGATCAGAGCCATGAGGGAAGGCTCAGAGCCCACCACAGGACTGGTGTTAGAGGCAGGCCAGGTAGCTGCACTATGTGGCATATTGGATAACGCAGTGCATGATCCATGAGCAAGCACTGCTGCAATTCTCAGGGTCAATGTCATACAGCAAGAGCTGCTTCTTCCAGGATCAGAAGAGAAATGTAAAGGCAGAGGGGAGAACATACAACACTTCAATCAGCTCTTTGCTCCCACACTGTCAGTAGATTTTGACGGCTTCTTCTGCATGCAGTGGACTGCAACCTGTTGGCTTGAAGTTAGGGTGTGAGAAAAGTGGTTCCAATGTCATATTTAACTTTTCCTCTGCTTTGTCTTATTATTTCCTTCCTTCTTCAGGCTCCCTGAGCATCCAGAGTTCTCGCATGCCTTATTCACTCTTACCCCTACACCTCTCTGTCCTGCAATCATTTTCTGTGCCATTGCTCTCATCTCCACATTTCTTCTTTAGTAACTTTTCATTTTTATCTTGCCCTTTCTTTAGTAGGCTTTGAAATCAAAGTCTTGTCTGAGTAGGTCAGAGTTCCCTCACTATCAGTATACAAACTGGCCCAGAGCCAACACGATTCCTTGTTGCAGAGCTTGTACAGCAGATACTGAACTTTACAAGTACCTAGCACTTGACAGATATGTACTACTACACGAATTTAATGACTGTCACTGAGTAATAATTAGGATCAGTGATAAGTTCACAGAATCACAAAATTATGTTGGAAAAGACCTTTAAGATTATCAAGTCCATGCATTAACCCAGAACTGCCAAGTTCACCACTAAACCAAGTCCCTAAGTTTATCATCTACACATCTTTTAAATACTTCAGGGATGGTGGAATGAGCCCACTCTTTCCCTGTGCAGCCTGTTCCAATGTTTGACAAGCCTTTTGCTGAAGAAATTTTTCCTAATATCCAATCTAAACCTCCCATGGTTCAACTTGAGGGCATTTTGTTTTATCCTATCCCTTGTTACTTCAGATAAGAGACCAATCTCCACCTGGCTACAATCTCCTTTCAGGTAGTTGTAGAGAGTAATAATTTTCCTTTTCTCCAGTCTAAAAAACCCCAGTTCCCTCAGCTGCTCCTCACTGGATTTTTTCTCCAGACCCTTCACCAGCTTCATTATCTTTCTTTGGATGTGCATTTAACTTAAAAAATTTAACCTTTTAAATAAAATAATATTCTACTAAAGAAAATCATAACCTGCTCAGGGTGCCAAGACATTCCTTTGTCATCTGATAAACAGAAGCCTCACCATTCTAATATTATTAAAGATACTTTCTACTGTTAGTCCATACTTTTAAAAAAGAGCAAAAGACTAGGTTGGATGGGGCTTTGAACAATCTGGTCTAGTGGAAGATGTTCCTGCCCATAGCAGGGGGCATTGGAACTAGACAGTCTTAAACGTTCCTTCTTACACAAACCATTCTGTGAATCTATGAAAGTGTGGCATACAAAACCCTAAAAACCTACATCTACGTCTGAAATCTTCCACAATAATTTCCCAGCAAGTTGTTCTTCAAACCAACAAGCACTTTGAATCAACATAAAAAGCAAGGAAAGGACTAAGGTCTGACCAAGAAAGCAAGCATATTATATGGTATTACTGCATAGTAACATAGAAAGGAAGCTGGCAAGTCAGGAAAGAGTGAAATCTCCCTAATTTCTGACTCCCAAGGGCCACTATGAGTCATAAGAAACTCTAAATCCTCCTGTTGAGGAATACATTCAGTGCAGGTAGCTCCCCTTGCAGCTGCAGTACAAGCTGCAGGTTGAGCTCTGGGTGGCAGGAGCTCCAAGGCAAAAGGCTGTGAACTGCCAACCCTTGGCATAACAAAGGGCATGTGGCACCGGCCAGGGGACCAGACACTCAGAGACACGGCAGGAGCCAATGACTCCGAGACTTTCATAGCTCAGACTGTGAGGTTATAAAAGCCCTGGGTCTCCTTTGTTCGGGGTCCCTCCTTGGAGGCACCAGCTCGAGCAGTTACTCTGTTATTGCACCAAGATTAAACTGTTTTAAGGATTGCGACGTCTGAGACTACTCTGGGAAACCTGAGGCAGAGTCAGTAAGGACACCTGGTCTGCCTGTGTGAGTGTGGGGTGTGTAGGGAGGTAAGGTGGCTTTGGTCCCAGCTCAGGTGATGTGGGTGTAACTGCCAGAGTGACTCCTGGATAGTCAGAGAGAAAAGTTTCCTTAACACTCCTTGAAAATGAGGAACAAACTGGCTAATTTTTAGGGTTTGAAAATGCTGCATCATGTGCTTTTGAACTGATTGAGGAAATTAAGTTTTTAAATCTTCTCCTTATACAAACGCGTAATAGACAAGCCATGACAAATCCAAATGTAGAGATATCCTTTACTATACCTTTTCCATACAAAAATAAAGAATTAGAAATACGGGAGAACTTGTAAACCAGCTGCAAAATAAGAGGCATAGGACCGTGAAAAACCCCTCCATATTGTACAGATCTTCCTGCACTACACAGTCCCAAAGTCCATCCTAGCTTCAGGGGTGTACACAAGCTTGAACACAAGTGGCAACATTTTATTACTTTACATGTTTTTTCTTTTTAATTATCTGAGACTTCCTTAGCTCCTCAGTTCCATGAGCATATGGGCAAGATTCAGAAGGCAAAGAACAACCATCAGGATGATGAATGAAAAACCAACAGAGACGTGTTTTAAATGCTTCAGCTGAAAGGCGACGCTTCACTTCAGGTTTCGTTTTACTTGATGGTTTCTCTTTTCTCCAGTCACGAATGTGAACTCTCCCATTCAAAACTAAGATTTAAAAACAAACAAAAATGTAGCTGTTAATAGACAGCCATGGGAATTAAACTGGAACTTACTTCAACGACGTTCTATGAATAAAATACACATGTATTCTAAACATTTGCCTACAGGTAGGTAAAACCAAATGAGCCATTCAGACAGAAATAGAAAGAAGCACACAACAAATCAAGACAATATAGACACATCATAAAGAAGATTGTTTTCCCTGAGAGATGTTTTACTGTGATGCTGAATAGTTTGAGGCACCTTTATATTGCCTTTGTAGAAGTTTGTTCATTTTAAATATAGCAGAATCATTTAGACTAAAATCCTCTGAATTCAGATTTCAAGTCCTGACAAAGTTTCAACTTCAAGAACTGTAATTTTTCTGGTGTTCAGAACTTTATGACTACATTTAAAATGTGACTACCAGCAAGAGTCTTCTACTAATTTCACTACACAGTTCATTGATCCAAAAACACGCTGCACCAAAGAGAAGACAAGTCTAATCCTTCAAAGGAATCAATGGCACATTCTCATTGGTTAATAAAGATTCAACACTTTGGATTTTTTTTTAAAATCATTTGCTGTGTTATGACCATAAACTGCACACACATATACACACACACTTGTGAACGTCTGTCAAGTCCTTAAATGTGTAAACAAAATGGAATAAAAGTAAGTTAGGAAGGGAGAAACATAAGACAGATGAAAGGAGGAAGTAAGAACGGATGAAAAACAACAGCCAAAATGAGGAGGGGAGAATTTGCCACTTCTAAGTTGCCATGCTCTATTTTCATATTCTGCTTCAATCACACCTTCTGTATCACACCCTTGTAGCTTGGAACAGTTAATCAATATCATTTGGCATTCTAAAAATTGCTATTCAAAAGATAAGAAGTCCAGCCAGTGGAAGCTGATTATCACACATTCTGGTCTGGATTAATTCATCCCTCCAGGTTTCCCTGTTATACACAGACAGATGTGAACTCATATAAAGCCATTTGAGAAGCAGACAAGCTTTAAAACCCCTCTCAACAGATGAAGAAAAATGAGCAGATATAGTGCTATTTATGATCAAGCATAATTTTTCCCTAGAAAATCAATCCTGTATTGGACAAGATGCCTGATCAAAAGAAATTTGTCACAGATCAATTACTCCTAAGTCCCTTTTTTGTATGTCTGTGTCTGTGCATGTGTGTGTGTGTGTGCATCTGTCTTTCACGTTTTAAATGAAAAACAATTCAGTAAAGATGACAAAAGTGCTGTAGGCATGTTCTTCTTTGTCCTCTTGGGCATGAGCAATATCCTTCCAGACCACCTGCTGATAAAAGCCTCTTGTTATGGTGACATGCACCTGAAGGAAAGAATCAAGTGGTCTCTACCGAAGCCCTGGGGAGTATCCATGTGATATAAATTACTGAGAAATATCTGCCCTTAATCCTGGTCTCTCTTCAGAGACAATGTACAAAAAGCAACCATGCAAATTTAAATGCTTATTCCATGTAACAGGTTGTAAATCTATTTCATCTATTCCTAATGACAGGAATCAAATTCAAACACATAATGACCACAGTGTGACCAACTCTTTTAAAAAGGATTTCAGTATGGATTCACATTTTATAATTTTCAAGTGTACAGAACTTCTTACTGGATACTAAACTTAGCAAAGTTAGCCACTGGCAGCAACTAGAATGCATGCTCAGGATTACTTGCCATGGACTAGTTGATCAATATTTTACAGCTGAGATAGAACTGTTGGGACTTAATGCACTTTGAAATTTGAAGCAGCTTTAATACTGATAAAAACCTTGAAAGCAAAACTTCTGCAAAACTTCACACTGGCAAAAAACCCCGAACAACAAAACAACTGCACAAAACACACCACCATCATAATACAGCAGAGGAAAAACAAAACAAAACAAAACAAAAAACCTGCTATCAGCAATCTCAGAGACTTGCTACTGAGTTCTTTCTGCCACACTACTACAGGCTATATAAACACATCAAGCTCACAGTTACAGGTTCTCATGGAGACTAGTTTTATTTCATGTCACCATTTACACTGTGGGGCTTAGTAAGGCCAGGCTGTCTCAGTTAAATGCTTCAGTGCACATGCTCTGTATTTGACAGCCCCAAAATCATCAATATTTCATAGGAAAAATAAAAATGCTCCCAGTCAAAGAATAGCATCAAATTAGCCACTTTAACAAAAGGGCTGTCTTTTCAGATGCAGTTGGTCTAGAAGATTTTGTTGATGTCTTACCAATCTCACTTAAAACAGTTTTACTAATGGTATCTCAGAACAAGGGGCACATAAAGAATATTTGATTTTCCTCAGAGATACAGAAAGCAGTTAAAAAGCCACCCCCATAGTAATTTTTCAGTTAACTTTAGCTGTATAAAGAGGAGATAAAATATACGATTACAGAGAAACAAAACCCAAAACTTCTTTACCTTCAAATACTTGATGATTGTTCTTGAGTAGTGTCTGCAGGCCTCCATATTCACTCTTCAGCCTTTTTAGTGTCTCTTTATTTAAGTGTTCTGCCACTTCTTTCAAGGAAAGGCTTTCTGCAATAAAAATGGTATAGACATTAAAAATTTACACAAATAAAATCCTCAGAAAATTTAACTTATATATAGGGTAATGATTATGAGCAGAATGTAAGAATTACCTACCAGTACTGCAGCAATTTTGTTCTCACAATATCGGGTACGATACATATTTTACATGTGTGTTGCCTGTAAGACAGCAGCTTTCATTCTACAGGACTCAAGATGGAATTTCCACAGTAAGACACTTCTAATTTGCCCTGCTTTTTTTATAGTACCAGGTAACCCTCCTCCCAATAAGCACTGTTTATAGGCATGTAGTTAGAAGAGAGAATAACTCAAAGGACCTCCTGCAACCTTAACATGACAAACTACAGAAAAGAAATAATTAAAACAGGAAAACAGAAGATAATAATAGTGTGAACTAACTGAATGCTCATAAAATTAACAGCAATTTCTATTCCTCGTTTGCAAGACTAAACTAAGAATTCCTAATCATTGTAACCAAACGGCACTTCAAAGCGCTTCTTACACAATTCTTACAGAATTACTGCTAATTATCATATGAATATTCAAAAACTTAATATTCTCCCCAAACAGATGCAGTGTTTTGTTTTTGAAAATGGGGAAGACTTCTGGGGTTTAGTTGGGTGTGTTTCAATAAAAATGGATTCTCTAAACTATTTAAGTATAAACCAGAATAAAAGCCTCACACAAATTTCAAAATATTCTTCTATGTGCAATAAAACGTAAAAAAAAGCACCTTTGATTGCTACTGTACTGTTTTTTGTATTTCCTAAAATCTATTTCACTTACTGAATTTACAAATATGTGAATTTATTGGAAAAGACATGTTCCACCAGCAAAAGGTAGTGTAAAAGAAAGACAATCTCACCTCCTTGATTCCAGGAATTTGTATTTCCACCCTGCATATTTGAACATGACTTTTGGGGGGTTGCATTTAACAGCAAGTTTGCCACATTGAGAACCACTTCATCTACAAACTCCCGAGGGAGGGAAGCACAGTTTCTGATTTGTTCCACTTTTTCTCTGGGTTGAAATCCAGGCATCCAAGTCGTACCAGCTGTCTCAGTCTCGTCTTCAGGCAGTTCTGAGCCTGCTTCTTCACATACACCATCACAGTGATCTTTATGATTAAATCCAACTCTTCTGTCACATGTGATCCCAGCACAGGTCCGACGATTATTAATAAACTCTGTTATCTGCTTGTCAATCAGAGCAGATTCTGTAGGTGGATAGGTCCTATTTTTTCCAATCAGGCTTACCTATTTTAGTAGGAAAAGGTAAATCACTATTTACACAGAGTCCCAAACTTACACACAGCCCCCTAACCTCCTCATGTTTCTGCAGGTTTCTCACTGCCTACAGGAGATACCAATACAAGTCCAAAGCTCATTAACATCTGAGGTACTTTTAATTCTAGATTTTAAATACTGATGCCATGGGAAAAAATACAGTAAACAAATCAAAAACAATCATGCTATGCAACTACAGAGCAAAAGCAATTTTCCTGACTCTCGGATTATTTACGATGTTAAAGCTGCACATCTCTTCCTATCTGAGAACATTTCACTTTGAATTTCACTGGACATGAAAAACTGCAAAATTAAGGACAAATAAACAAGACAGGCAGGTTTAAATTTTCCATCCTATACAGTGGTATAAGAAAAAATCATGAAACCTTCCATTCCTTCTCATTTTTAGGATTGTACCTATGACATTAGGAGCAGAATACCCAAGAAAACAAGGAGTATTTTCAGTCTCTCTTCAGAGCATATTGTAACAAGTAATGCAGCTGACTACAGTCTGATCTTACAGTAACAATGAACAAACATCCACATGCTTCAAACAGCCAGCAAATTTAAAAAGAAAACAAAAAGGAAAAAAAAAGACAAAGCTCTACACAGTCCAAAAATTACCCTTTTTGTTGATGGAATTCTAAGGCAATCTTCCTCTACATGAAAGCCACATACAAATCCCACTTGGGCAACAAAATCTATATATTCTCTGTACTGAGTTTTCTTGCTTTGTCTTCGGCTGTATTTTCCATGGAAATCAAAGAAACAACATGGCAGCACAAAGTAGCAACATGAATAGGAAGACCTACAAGGCAGATAAAAAACTGCTGACGTTATTTCAGAAAATACAAAAATTTAACAAACAAACCATCAGATAAAAGCAATATTTTAAATTTTTATTAAGTGACAGAGCTTCATGCAGTAATACTTATAACTCCCTCTTTCAGTAGATCTATTAGTTTAATCAAAAATACTATTTCATAAAGTATTTGCGGATGTAAATTACCATGCCAACGTGGTTTGCAGAACTAAACCTCTAGATAGTAAACTACTGCTGCTGGTTGTAAAGAGAGCAACAGTTCAAGGGAAGGTAGAACCATAAGCTCTTATTTACAAAAAAACCCCCACAAAACCAACAAAAAACCAACAGATTCACATACATGAAGTTTCTGAACTTCAAAAACAAAATGCTGCACTAAATTCTATGAGAAAGTAAATACTGCTTCTCCATAGGAAGAGAAACACTGTAAAAATAATAAAGTGGCATCAAAAGAAGTGAGTCTTGCAAGGGCAACAGGTGTGGCAGCAAAAGTGACAGCTTTTACCAAGCCCACACAGGTAATTACGTTTGTTTTCTTTTGCTTGTTTGCGTTTTTTAAATTCCTTCCCTCTCTCTCCCCACCCTACACAAATACCTAGCTGCAATTACAGGTATCCACGGTGTTAATTCATCTGAATGGTTCCCTATGAGCCAGTCAGTATCTGGAAAGAGATGACTGTCACCTGGCATGATTGTAGATTCCTAAAACACAAAACAACACATTAAGTGAATTCTATTACAGGTTTCTTTAAGGCATTTTATTTGTTAGTAAAGCGCTAAGCAATAATATAAAACACCAGCTGACAAATACAAGGTGAACGAGAATCACAGGCATCATCATTTTCCTCAATATGAATTTTTGCTAGGTAGAAATTTTTTATAGCTACCCAGAAGTAATTTAGCAACAAATACCCATGAAAATTCCCACACTGGTCAGAAAAGGAATGGAATAACAACTATGATTAAGATATGTGGCACCCTAAATATCTACAAACAAGTATCATACACTGGACTACGATTCCTTGACAATCTCCTTCTGTTACATGTATGTCTGGACTCAATTTTTCAGGAAGTCACTTAATTTCCTACGTTTACAGTCCCTAGGACTCATGCAGCTATTAATCAGAACACAGCTTCACTGTTATCTTCTCTTTCACAGATGCTTCCCAGACCAAATCCTAACATAGAGAACACCACTCTTCACATGCTTTCACATAAAATAACCCTAATCCAGCCTAACACTTTCTCCCCTTGTTTATGTTGCCATTCCACTCCCTTCAAGTTGTGTCAAGACCACCTTATGATACATGTTAAAACAGGAGGAAAACCAGGAAACAACAGGTTACAAAAAGAATTCTTCTTTGGTGACCTTTGGAATAGCATTTTGCCTAACGGAAATTCAATATATATGAATTGTTATTAATACCATGGAAGTACACACTCTTGCCTGAAAACATGTATAAATCTTAAAAGAATTATTGGGCAGATTTGAAAAGAGTTTTAGATTTGAATTTCCACAGACCTTCAGGAAAAGTTCTGAAAATTATGCTTATACTCTCTTTTTATATAGAAACTGTATGCTTTACAAGCTTAAAATTCACATGTATATGCAAAGTAGTATCTGCATAGGAATTTGAAAAAAATCCCCAAAACAAAAACAAACCCAAACCTCTTATTAAGGAATTTCAGGAATTTCAGAGTATCTCTGGTTACATTCCAATTCCCCCTCAAGGATCAATATGGTGTTTATTGTTCACTTTAAAAACTACATCTCTGACCATTTCTAGTTATGTATATACATTTCTAGATAATGAATGTAACAAATTTCTCTCTGGCAGGTTACTAGACCAAGTCTTGGGTGTTTTCTTAAGGTTGATTGAACAAATTACTCATACTTTATATTTCAGTTTTGATCACTCAATTTAGGCACAGCATGAATTATCAGTGCCACACTCCACATTTTGACAGTCACCCATAATCAAATTTGTATTCACCACATCTGACAGCAGTTTGGCAATACAGAGTGACACCTGTTACATTCCTTTATATTGCTAGTTCTGTACTAAATGTCACAGATGGCAATATCCATTCTGCAACTCATGCTTTAAGTAAAGATCAAAACAAAATAAGCTTCAAGGTAACAACAGGTTGTGAGCAGGTGCTTTCTCCTTCTGCGGCTCCCACGGCTACAGGAGCCTTGCAAAATGTTTTCACCCTTCCTGTTCACTGTATAACTCCTTCCATCATAAATCATCACTTTCCCCACACGCATACTTTTGATATTTTTACAGTTGCTTTGTTTCTGTCTGGGCAGGAAAAGGAACATGTAACACACAGGAAAAGAGAAGACGCTGTTTGGCATTGTCAGATGTGACTTAATGTAGTACAACAGGTATGAAGGAGCTCTGCAGCCTGATGTTTTGGATTGTTTCTTGAAGCATTTCAGTAAGATCTGTTTGCAGACTGCAGCAAAAGAATATGGCATTTTTGGCAATCTGTACCCAAAATGGCAGAGTGGCAAAGAGAATGCCACACAAAATACTGTTAAAGCTTCACCTCCCACCTGTGAAAACTGCTGCTCTTTTGTTGATTTAGTGTAAGTTATCAGCGTCCAAAGTTATGTCAAATTAACTTTACACAAAACTATTAGAGAATAACTGCAGGTGGGGAATTAGTTTACTGTACTGGAAGCTGACAATTTTTGAGAGAACACAGTGAGAAACTTTAGAGTTTAGAGAACAAGAAAACCAGGAACATCTCAAGTCCAAAGGCAAACTGTTCCTTGGCACCACACTTTAATGATGTCAGACCAAGAATGCCTGGAGTCAAAGTGAATGTTCCCGTGCTCAAATTGTTCCTGTTCTCATAAAAATGCTAATATGGAACTTGAAATATAATCCCTCTTTCAGACTCATTTTCCTGTTCATTTTTGAAGGCTTTTATATTGGCTCCTTTGAGGTTCGACAACAAATTTGTCACCAAAACAGCACATAGCACTGGAAGGTCATCACTTTCAAGAAAAAGACACTCATAATTTTGGGTATTATTATCTTTTATGAGCTACAGTGGTGCAAATAAAGCTGCTTAATATTGATCTCCCAGTAAAATCAAATGCTTGTTTCACAGTGTGCATGTCTGTACACGCAGTAAGAAATCATGTTAGTCTTCCTGGCTGAAAAACTAGCAAGTTGCAAATACGCAAGGGTACGACACAGTATTGCTCTCATAATTCCCTTTAGAACTTACTTCACAGACCCTCTGGATGGCATCATACCAAACCATTGGGCCACTTCAGACAACTGGCTGTAACCCAGTATGCTTCATTACACTTGCATCAATACAATCTGAAGCAATGAACAAAACAATAAATTTACAAAACAGTAAGACTGACATACATTTGCATAATACCTCTAAATGAGTTTCTGGTCCATACATGTCCCATATTTTTCTTCTCCTCACATCAATTCCTCTACCTGAATGCTGAAATATTTGAACAACAAAAAGTGTCATTTTAAGTACTACTTTTAGCAGAAATTGTCAAACTAAATGTACATATTAACAGTGATTATTTCATTCTAGATAAAATTTAAGACACGAAACGAAACACTGCTTCACCATTTCAGGCAGAAGCTGAATACTTTTAATCCCTTCTTTCCCTTTGAAATATAAAGGGAATTACTTAGAAACTTTAAGAATATATCTCGTTAAAAAATGTTACCAGAGCACACCTACTGAGATTGCTCTTGAAAATCTGGATCTCTAAAAATGTAGAAGCAGAGGTATCATTTTTTGTTTGTTTTTAAAATAACAAAACCTTTCATAAGGTGAGTACTACTGTAGCTCCCACAGGGCTCAGAGAAGAGTGCTACTCTAAGCAGCCCTTAGTGGAGAACCACCTTTCAACCATCAAAGTCCAAACACATTTTTTTCCTGTGTGAGTTGAAGGGAAGAGGAAATAGACTGGAAACTAAAGCAAGAAATGAAGAATGTGTAAGTATTGAACTTCAAGAACCTTGTACAGAACTAACCAAAATCAATTTCTAAAAAAGTCTCATAAAACTCTCACACATGATTTTTTTGACAGTCAGTGTTTGTCAGCCCTCCAGCAGTGATGACCTAATGATGAATGAAAAGAAACATTTACAAGAAAAATAGCATCTTCAATAGACAAAATTTTTCTGGTTACACAAGAATAGAAAGCTTGTGTTAGGAGAACTTGAGCGAATTTTTCCTGCCAATGAAATCTATTGATCTAACAGGAGATATTAATCTCCTCTACAAAGTTTATCACATTCTCCCAAAAGTGGAAAATGGAATTCCTGAAACAGTCATTGTGTTTAAGTGTCACTGACCTTTTTTTGCTGTTGTGTCAGAAACTATGCATCAAGAGACTACCGTGTTGCCACATTTTCATTCCCAAAAGCACATTATGTTGTTGGGCATTTTCAATTAACAGATCTCAGGATTGTTTTCAAAGATACAGAAAAACATTGTCAGGACACCACAAGTAGAATTCAATTCAAAAATAAGTTCATGAACACCATGTTGTGAGAGAGAATCTCCATGTCAAGATTCCACATTACTTTTTGCTTTTTTTCTACAGCGTAACTAAATTACTCCATTATTTTTAATTTCCCCCATTACTTTCTTACCTCAGAAAAAATAGCCTTGATTTGACGTGAAATGTACTAGTAAACAGAGATGTATAAATGAAAGGTTTCTAAAGCTCTGCTAGGATTTTCTATTGGTAACTGGTGTAACAAAATCCTATTTTAGTGAGATGAATTGATTGTATTTTGGCTATTTGCACGCCAGATAAAAGGAAAGCATAACAAGAATATTGACTATCTCCAGTTTTTAATCATTCTTTCAAAAAGCATTCTATTTACCCCTTCATTGTTTAGAATGTGAACCAGTAGACCATTTCCACATCCAAGATCTACAAACGTCTGTTTCTTAGTTAATCCTTTTTCCTTTCTTTCTTCTTCCCAAAGAACCTAAGGCAAGAGAAAAAACACAACATTTTAGACTTCTGCTCTCAAGTTTCCCTGTAAAAAAGAAGTAAAAGTTATTGGAAGTTAAAGGAGAAAGCTGGGAATACAGATGTGACAGAAAATATTCCCTGTACTCACAGACAAAAAACCTTTAGAGGAAAAAAAAAAACAAAACAGAAGAGAAAAACACTGAAACCTTTTATGGAAAGGAGCAAGAATTATGTTGCAAAATATCAGTTTCTAAGTGCTAAGCACATCATCCACTTAATCAGGGCTATACAATCTGGATCAGAACGAGCATAAATATAAAGTAAATCGCTAAAACAGTGGGTGCAAGAGAACAACAGTGAAAAGCAAGGGAAGTATCAAGTAAATTTCAACAATATCTCTGCAAGTAACACCCTGGAGGTGTTTATATCCATTGTATTTGTGGTGGCAGAGCTGAAAATAACCAAAATTTGTGATCAGTTGGCATTATATATATTGGCAAATGTAACATCCCTTTCTACTAAACAAAGCAACAGTGTTACTGAGCAAGTTAGCTGCCCCAAATTCTGCATCAGCTAAAGGGACCCCAAAGCTTTCACCCAAATTACAAATTACATACCTATGTAAAAGTAGTTACTTTTACATAGGTATGTAATTTGTAATTAACAATTGGACATTTCTCTGCAGAACACAGATTAATCTCTATCACTGTAAAACTTTTTCCTTCAATGAGAAGTTACAGAGCACATGTTCATCAACTCTGCGCTCTCATTCACTATGACTGACAAAAATCTCCAAGAATATTTAACTATGAAAATTAATATTTGTAACATTGTCTCTTGTGAATATATCCATTTTGCTAGAGGGAAAGAAGATGAAGATAATCCATGAGATTATCAGGCTATATTTATGTTTTTAAATTTACCAGTCATTGCACTTTGGCACTTTAGGCAGTATCCCAGAAACCCTTAATCATCTCCAACTAGATCATACCTATCATTTCCCAATACAAACTGAACAGCTACTGCTTAGGCCATAGTCCTAGATACAGGTGATTGCAGAGTAAAATGAGGCCACATGTAGACCTCACATGTTAAATCCATAACAACACTGGACCTACTTTCAACCACTACTTTCAACCAACTACTCTCAACCACTTGTTTAATGCAGTTCTAAATAAACATAGAGTCATAGAATCAGCTGGATTGGAAAGGACCTCTGAGATCATCAAATCCAACCCTTGACCCACTATCACCATGGTTACTAGACAATGGCATTAAGTGCCACTAAGTCTCATCTTAAAAACCTCCAGGGATGGAGAATCCACCATTTCCCTGGGCAGCCTATTCCAATGAGTTATTCTATGACATCATATAGATACCTGAACATTTTGGAGGGAGGTTAAGGTATACCATAGTTTAGGTTTTCATTTATATAAACTGTATATTGGATGAATTTAATAACTTTTTAAAAACTACTGCTACATCAGCTAACACATATTATCACTGTGAACCAACATTCACGTGCTATCACTACAGAATTTCTTGTGGCTACAATTAAATTCCTAGTTTTCAACACCTAATATTCACACATTGGTAAAAATGGTAAAGATGAGTCTATTACATAGGTCTTTCCACAAGCCAGTATCTAAGGCTCTAAGGGGTTAAACAGTCAATTATAAAAATTAATTAGCCTTCAATAAGTTCTGTAAGTGATCTAACTTACTTACAAATACTATTTAAATAGATGCTAGAGGTAGAGTTCAAGGTAGGCATGCTCTTACCACACTCTGGATGGCAGTCAAAAATATTTTTGTGCCTACATAGGGACCCTTTTGATGCTTTTTATAAAACTGAAGTTTCTAGTGACTGCAGGTGGCAGAATTTTCACAGAATCTAAGTATGTAGGTGTCTTAGAAAACTGCACCAAGCATTCCCAGCATCTACAGCTGGAGATGGTAGAAGATGGGATTTGATCTAAAATTTTATCAGGGAAAGGCATAGCAGTGAAAAACCTTTAGCATAAAATTAACAAGTGATAGAAAAACATGTAAAACAATCACTGCTGATCTCCAGTTGGTCCAACCAACCACTTCTACATCAATGCTTTTCGCTTTATCACTTAGAAATAAATACATCTTATCTGTGTAGATCATCAATTTCCTGCAACAGAAGATGGTAATTTTTTATCATATCTTTAAAAAAAAGTTCTTGTTTCCTTCTAAATTGATTTTCTGATTTCTAAGAGGTTCTATTATTAGGAAATAGAAGCTTATAGAATACTATTAGGCAAAGTGATTCCCTACCAGCAAGTAAGAGGCAATGGCAACATCTTCATAAACAAATTTTTCAGGATCTGTCACTTCAGGCCACACCTTCAGGAAAAAAAAATTGAGAAAAAAAATGAAGAAAATTTATTTTCTGCATCATCTGAAATAACTAAAAAAAGTGCTCAGTTACAGCAATCTGGATACTCATGCACTCATCCACTTCAATAGGTTTCTGCACCTCATGAATTTTGTATTTTAACCACATTAAAAATACACACAAAGAATGTAAATAAAGACTTTGATTTTGTGATTCACACGGAAGAATGATGGTGTAAAGAATGTTCTCATCCAAACAATAAAATTTCCAAGAACATTATGGCTCCATATGTGCAGGTCATGAGTAAACTGCTGCATCTGTTCTGTAATAGATTATGTATGTTCTGCTCAACTCTCTCAGGAGAAAAATGCTTATATTTTTCCTATGCAACATGGTTAACATGAATATTTATAGATTTCTTTAATGTAACAGACATAGAATTATCTTGGCACAAAGAATCAAAATCTGAAGTTGGAAGTCAGAGAGCTCAAGTATTATCCCCAGGTATTATTTTCTAAACGAGGAATTGAGACAAAGACTAAAATGCTCAACTCTACATTAATTCTACTGCAGATCTAAAGCTTGAACCACTGCCTTACCCAAAAGACCAATTATCCTCTCAAGTAGATCTTTCTGTTAGTACAGAAGTATCAACAGCAAAACCTTCCAACATTTTCACAATACATTTAACAAAGCACATATATAACACATATTAAGATCTCATACAAATTTCAGAAGAGTAGTAGGAAAATAAACCTACTTGCTAACCAGTGCTGTTTACAGAGTCTTTCAGGTTGGAGAAGCAAGTGCTTTATTTGTGCCTTCTAACGTGGATGACTTAGTATTTATTCCACTGACCTGCTGCTTACTTTTTAAAACAAAAGATACATTCTCAAAAACGTTTAAGTGAATTTGTCTCTAAATCTTGCTTTTCAAGTTCTTCCAAATACTGAATTTTTTTCTCCATATGCACCAAAAAAATAAAACCCCAAAACATGAAACCAAAGAACATACATTTCAATTCAATTGCTTCTTTTATTAAAAAAAAAAAAAAAAAAAAAGGATTTAGTGACAAAAGCAGCTTCACTACACAAACAATGAAAAAAGTTATGAAAAGATATTATTACTGTATGTATTGCTAAACTTACCTTTACCATTTCTTTGTATTTTTCTTTGAGCTCTTGATACACTTTGCTGTACTTTGCAACGGAAATGAGTGAGAGTGTACTTTTAAACTCACTGGGTTTTTGCTCCACGGACCATTTAGCCAGTTTGGACAGAAGTTCATTTCCAAGCCATGCTAGTTTGGGGTATGCAATTCCATCTGAAAACCAATCCTCTGGAAATGGAGCTACAACAGACACAGACCTTTAAAACAAACAAACAAACAATTTTTAATAAATACAGTATATTTCATTATTTCAGCTACACCAAAGAGGGAGAGACTGATTAAGTGGAGAAAACCATCAGATCAGAGATATAAAACTAGACAGGAGAATATGGAAATATGTAATATACAAAACCAAAAGGAAAATAAAACAACAAGGTTTCTGAATAATGGGTTAACAGTCTCCCCTGAATTTTGTTAGCTCATTGTCTGTCAATTCAAACACTGTACATGAGAGTCCATGCCGCATTTAACATAATGAATGAGGACTCGCATATGATGAACAACCAGGTTTAACAAGATAGCCAAATACTAAGTAGCAAAAGTCAGTTTATAAAATTCATGAAAAAAAAAGCAGGAAAATTTAGAAGAAAAATATATCCATTGGCACAATCCATTATTTCATCTTCTCTAACTTTATTCAGGTTTCATTAGAGCTACATCCTCAGATGCTCAGGACCAAACTGCCATGTCACCTTTCAGTGACTGAAGCTCAGGGGGTTCACAGTAACTCCAGTTTGACCTCAGCCCTACTAACACCCCCAAAACCTGACCTTTTTCATAGGCATAGCTAGTTCCTTGTGATCAGAATAGGCATATTTTTTTCTAGACCACACACAGCTACAGTCAATGTACACATTCAAAGCTGATACAGCTTTGTATTACTTTGGGTATTGTAGATGTTTCTTTTTACAGAACACTATGCACTCAGATCACAACACTACTGTAATTTACTAATCAAGCAGGAAATTATAAAAACCAAATTGCCTATGTACCAATACTAAGCCATTATGTAACTCTTGCAATAACTCACTGTTTGCTTCCCCTCTCAGTTACTTACCATTCCTCATCTTTTATGTGTCTAAGTTGAATTTGATAAATATTGCACTTTTTAATCAGGCATTTTCCTTCACTATTTTCCTCCAAAGGCAGAAAGGTCACAGTTCCATTGTAAACATCTGAAAAGATATGCAAACAGGGGTATATTATTACATCCTGGTTAGCACCAAAATGAACTTTTGTCTCCTTACTATGTTAAATGCAAACAAGTGAGATCTAGGAAACACAGGAAGAATCTCAACGCTAAGAACAAATCTGTTTCTCAGTGTGCCTGATGTCCAAAAACTGGATGGTCTGAATTCTCAAAATTTAGCATTCTGTTGCATGATATTCCATATGTCTTACAATGTGTATGCACTATTGCTTTATAAAGTAGTTGCGAAAATCTTTTTAGCTATTGTTTATGCAGGGTGATTTCCTCTGAATAACTTATTAAGTTCTCAGTTTTGCAAGTGGTTTTTCAAGTACTATCAAAACAAACATTCTGGCAACTACAAATGCTATATTAGCTACAAAATCAATTTTCAATGGGCTCCAAAATTTTCTGAGACAAGAAAGAATAATTATCAATAGAGGAAACATTAAGTCTTGTCTCATCTTTAGTAATCCCATCCCTGACATGTTTTCATTTTAAACATAATAATTAAAAAAAAAAATCTTACAGATATGCTCTCTAGACAGAGCTCAGGAACACCTTCTCTTAACATCAAATTAAAAATTAAAACTGTAACATAGACTTTTTTTTATTTCCCAATCTTTTTAAGGCAGTAGATTAAGAAACACAGGCCACAAGAGCATCCAAAGTCAGCTGTCACCCATAAGTGACCATAGGTCTTTCCGAACAGTAAATTTGAATTTTTCTGGAATTCTGATTCTTTTCAGAACATTACTACTAGAATTCAATCCATATCAACATATTTAATCCATATAATTTTTTCCAAAATTTATCTTAAAAGAGTTGTCAACCTTTAAAATTTTGTTTATGTTAATAGGATTTACTCCAGCATAGTACTGTCAAACAGTGTAAAAACAAAACAAAGGGGAAAAAAACCCACACCAACAAGACAAGTCCAGCTACATTTTTAAGCAACACTAAACAACAAGAAAGTCGATACAAACAATTCAACTTGGCCAGGCAGGTGACACAGCTGCCTGTTCTATTCAGTAACAAGGCTAGTGAAGGGACTCGAGCACAAGTCCTGCGGGGAGAGGCTGAGGGAGGTGGGGTTGTTTAGTCTGGAGAAGAGGAGGCTCAGGAGAGACCTCATCACTCTCTACAACTACCTGAGAGGAGGTTGTAGCCAGGTGGGGGTCGGTCTCTTCTCCCAGGCAACAAGCAGTAGGACAACAACTCTGCCAGGGGAGTTTTAAGTTGGATATTAGAAAGAAATTTTTTACAGAGTGAGTAATCAGACACTGGAACGGGCTGCCCAGGGAGGTGGTGGGTTCAACGTCCCTGGAGGATTTTAATATGAGGCTGGATGTGACACTCAGTGCCATGGTCTAGTAACCACAGCAGTGTTGGGTCAAGGGTTGGACTTGATGGTCTCGGAGGTCTTTTCCAACCCGGCTGATTCTATGATTCATTTTCCAACACTATCATCAGTCTTTACAAGCCCGTAATTAGGTCTGCACTACAAGCAGCGTTTGTGCGTGGGCCGCTTACACATGACAGACAGGAGCTCCAGAGTCCTGCAGGTGTTCGACCCCTGTTAATTTGCGTTTCGAACTGCTGCCTCTTCCCAGTATAGCAACAAAAGATAAAAATAGAAGATAAAGAAGGAAAAAAAAAGCGGTATTTATCCCATTTGCCAGACAATCTCTGACGGGACAGGTGTGTGGCAGCCCCAGCATCCCGCCCCCTCAGCGCCGGGCTCCGCTCACCTTGGACCACCAGCTCCCGGGCCGGCGGGGTGGGTGGGCGCGCCCGGGGCAGCAGCGTCCTCAGCAGGGCTCGGAGCTCGCCCGGCCCGCCCCACGGCCTGAGGGGCGGCGGCAGCAGACATAGCTGGCCCCGTACCTCCCTCCACAGCCTGCCCAGCTCCGCGGTCCCCGCTCGCCCCTCTTGCCCGCCGCCCACGGCGGCGAGGGACGGAGGTGCCTGCCCGCCCTCCCCGAGTGGCACCGCGCCCTCCGCCTCCAGGGCGGCTCCGCACAGCCTCCTGTTGACCACCTGCGGCTTCTCCAGCCACACGCGCACGGCCGCCCAGAAGCCGCGGGGCAGCGCGGCCCCGCCGGGGTCCGGCACGGCCGCCGTGCCCACCACCCCCATCCACCGCCCGCCGCCGCCACCGCGCCGCGGCAGGAGGAGGCGGAGCGCGTCGCAGGCTGCTCCCGTCAGTTCCCGAGGCGGGGACGGCGGCGGCTCCAGGTACGTAGCTCACCCCGGGCTGTGGCTCTGAGACGCCGAACGCCGCGAAGGGCGCGGGGAAACGGCCCGCTGCGGCTGGAAACACGGGGAGCCCTGAGCTCCCGGCAGCGAGTGAGGCTGGAGGGTCGTCGCTGCATTTGTAGCACTGTTAGGGGAAGGTCTGTGTCGCTGTCACAGCCTTCTGAGAGCGGACTCCTGACCGGGAGCTCTGACAGTCCCGGCTGTCCGTCTCTTCAAGGAAACGTCTCGATACATTTTGTGTACATTTCGTACACAAAACATAGTCTCTTTCTGCTTCCTCTGAGCAGAAGCGAGGCCCTGCGGTCAGTTCAGGCAGTTCACGTAGCGGCTGTGCAGTGAACCCTCAAAGGGCTCCCGCACAAGTGGGAGAATAAGGGTACAGCGTCATTAATCTTGACACTACCAAGAGTCTGAGCTACACAAGATAATCGACGATAGTGCCCTGCGAACTGACGTTTCCCCTCGTGGTTTGTGACCCGCTGTTGTTGTCCGGTCATGAATTGGAACAACCAGCAGGGGCACTTTCCTGCAGAAAAAGGTTGCCAACTCAGCGTTTCGCGGTGAAATCGCAGCAGCTCTTGGCAAATTGAAAATAACGTGGTTTTTACTGCCAGCTTCACACGCATTTCGACATATCAGGACAAGGCTGAAATTAACACCGGGGGTTTTCCTTAGGGCAGTCTTTTGTTACTTTCCTATTGTAACCGCCTGTTTTGGTTTCCTAATTAGTTTTGAAACTGTTTGCTTGGAGCCAAATTATACTAAAATATTGTGTGAAGTCGGATTTAACTACAGGATCATTTTTTTATTATTTTATTTTTTTTTCCTCATTTGGGCAGTCTCACTGATTTGCAATGTCAATGAAGTTAGATGCAGTACCTGCAATATTTCAACATAATCTTTTTCTCTGAGTCAGAAACCTTAAACTTCTGCCTGATTTACCTGTTTTCCAGTTAAAAGTGTAATACCTATTTGGCTGCCGGTTGAAACACACTTTCTCATTGCCTTNTCTTTCCAAACCTGTTGTTCAATTCTGGAAGCTGCACCTTCCTAAAACTGATTTGGAAGTCTCATGCAGAAATACTGTCCTGCAGTTCTCTTCTGCTATGTTTGTACTGTCCACAACTGGGGGATGTCCTCCATGACGGGATAAGGTTGAAAGATGTAGCAAAGAAATATATCTAGATGATGAGGGAAAAAATGTGATGGAAAAAGCAGATTGCTGAACTAATGGTTTCTGTGCTTTATTATGTTCAAAGTCCATATGGAGCCCTTGGACAGCCCTGAACCTGGATATGGTACCTATACATTTGAATTGCTTTCCAGCCAGTTTCCTTGTTAAAACGTGGCCAGTTTCTGCTCCCCTGCCTGACGGTTTTTGCACTTTACAAGTATGACAGAGATCTCTGCCACCTGCGTGGTGGCAGGAATTGCTGGGTGTGCCATGAGCAGCAGAGGGCCCTCTGACACCAGCTTCTGGGAGCAGCAGAGCTATCAGCCTTTACTCCTTTAGGCCAGGTTCTAACAAAAAGCAAGATTCTCCTTCTCTCCTAAACCAGTGCGGTTGTACTTACTGGCAGTGGAATCCTGCAGGGTCTGTGCAGTTTTGCAGTGCTCTTGCACACAATAAGATGCCAGCAGACTTTGTGGGTCCTTACTGCCTTTTTTTCTTTTTGGTATTTAAGACATGGTATTTTCTTGCCTGGGTCTTTTATCTCCCTCTTTCTTACTGCACAATATTAACCAGTAGTGTCCCTGTTTCATATTTGGCTTGTGTTTTAGTAACAAAGACAGTGTAATTCAATTACATTTGATCAAATATAAATACATTTGTATCAAACCAGCTGAATTAGAAAAAGGGAAGGACAAGCTTTAAGTTGACCCTGTAGTGTTGTAATCTTACATTTAAACAAGTCTATGTATTTAATTAACAACCTTTTTGTTTTCTTTTTATTATTAAAAATCAACTTCAGTTCATGATTTATCTTTTCCCCTTTGATTGCAGTTTAGCCAACAATGGCATCCACAACGAATCAGAAAGAAGCCACTGGCAACCAAAATTCATGGGATAGTTTGCTACCAGATTTACCTAAAGGCCCGCTTTGCAGATACCGTAAGAAAGCTTCTTTCAACTGGAAAGAGATGGCAGTGTTCCTAGATGGCGAAGATATCATCCAATTTAAGGTAAACTCTGCAAGAACTGTAAGCATGTTTTAATTCTGGAGATATCAGTAGAAGCAAGTGTGTGATTTTCAAAGGGAGAGTAGTTAATAATACTCAGTAAATACAGAGCATGAAGAAATTGGATTTGCACATCCAATTTTCAGAACAGAGATGAACTTTTAAGCAACCTACTTTGCTGTCTCATGAGGCTTATTTAATTATTAAACATCAGTACAAGGGAGACCAACAGGTGCTACATTACAGAACTTCAGTGTTGATTTGAAACTGAGAAAGAACTATACCATATTTCTTTACTGTTTACATTAAGTCATTTATCCCATGATTTTGCAAGGCACTTATGTGGAGCTAAGCCACTATCAAACATAATACTTCTGTCTGTCTTTGACCTGACATAATTTCCTATGACCTTCTGTGCTTGCATTATTGCTTATGTGATGTTGCAGTTGGGCAGATCAGCATGTCTACCTCACCAAAAGCTAACCCTACTGAAAAAAAGAGATTAACTGCACCACATGAGGTGGTATGGAAATGCATGACTTGGAGATGTAAGAGGGGAGAGAGCTAGCTTTCTTAAAGGTGGTGTAGAGTTATATGGATTTAAGCTAATCTTGAATGTTCACTGTAATTATTAAAATCCTAGTAGGTAGATCAGAGAGATCAAAAAGGCCTTTTTCTGCATCTGACTGGTACATGTAGAGCATAGAAAGAACACAAGTGCTCTGTGTCTGAGGGAGTTTGTGGGCATATAGTGTTGTTCATTCAGAGAGAAGGAATGACCCTGCTTTTCAAAGGAAAGCACAAGGAGTCTGGTTTTCTTCCTTCTTATTGTGTCATCCTCTTCAGAGAGAAAGAAAGGACTTCAAAAACATTTCTAAAAGATTTTGCCTAAGGCACTGTAATTTTTTTTTTTGTAAATTGTGTGAGAGACAATTAAGATGTGGATATCTTGAACACACATATCTTGAAGATCTGAGGTAAAAAAGTATATTATCTAATGGAAAAAAAGATCCAAATTAAAACATTAAAAGTTGCACATCCCTGTATTGAGTGGCTGCAAATGATGGTTCCATTAAATGGAGTACATTTCTGCTTTCATCTGGGAACAGAGCACTTGTGGTAGCTTAATGGCTTTACCATCATGGCATATTTCTAACTGAATGTAACCCCTGGAGTTTTACCTTTGTCCTCACATTGAGGGATGTTGCCCTTTAGATCCTGCCAGCAGCTTCATATATTGAAATAATGAAGCTGCTATAAAAAGCAAGTGAGTTTTACCATGCTGTTCTCATACATTCAGAGTGAATCAGTGAATCATTATTACTTCATGATGAAGGAGCTTTCATAAAATTTAGCTGCATGAGCTGTATATATATCATGACAGATCATTTAAATATATTTTTTAATTCTCTGGCATTTTCACTTTATAAATTTACACCTTTAATCAAATGATTGTAGTTTGAGGCCCCATATTATCCTAGAAGAATTAACTGGTTTTGTTAATGCTTTTAAATTAACATTCTCATGTCACTTTTTTTGCCCTCAAGAACAGAATCTTCTCTGCTCTGGAAAGTGATCCTCTGTTTGCACATCATCCTGGAGAAGAACTGAGCCGTGAGAAATATCAGGAGCTGACATTTCTGCGCTGTAAAAGGCTCTTTGAGTATGATTTTCTTACTCAACAAGAGATCATGGAGAACCCATTAAAGGTCCTTAATATGGTGGTCTGTGTAGGAATGTACGATTGGTCTCCATGTCTCCAGTTTGTCTTGCATAGCGGTGTAAGTACTAGTCAAGGGGTATACAGGTATATATTTCAATTTCAGTAGCTTCTAATATCATAATTTTATTGCTTTATGCCTATTTTATTAAAGTTATGTCTTTCCCTAGTCCTTCATTTTCAAAAATGAAATTAAATTTTATCTGTTTAGAAGTATCAGAAACTCCCTTGGCTAAACCCCAGTGTCTTGATTAAGGTCAGAATGCAGAAGGAATGGAAACCAGTGTGAAGTTTCTCACTGACATCAGCGGCTGAATTCTGTTAATCAGTTGCTTCCCAGATGAGTCTCTCAAAATACTCAGCATAGCTGGTCAAATAATATCAGTTGAATTAATTAATTATTAGTACTCAGATGGAAGAGGGGGATCCAGGAATTATATTTTGTTATGTGTATATTCATCTAGGAAAACTAAAGGTAACTTTAAAAACAGCATTTTTGTTTGATCTTGAAGCAGCTACCTTCAGTTCCTAATCCATTTGCAGGAAAATTAACCTGAATAGTCTTTAAGTTTTACTTTTCTCAAGGGACAAGTAGAAAGCATTTCTAAACATTTGCAATGAAGGCTTGAACAGGTTAGTGCTGTGATAATTTAAGTCCTCTGTAAAGGGACCTTGACAAGATCAAATCCTACCTTACCTCCCCCAGCTATGTTCTAAGTGTAGTTTACTGTACAGCCCACTTTCCCTGGTCTCTTTACTGGACATCACTATTACAAACCATGTGCAATTTGTGCTTTCCATCACAGGTCACTGATTTAATCCATAATTCTCTGTTTTTACAGGTATTTGGAGGTGCAATCATGAGTGCTTATAAGAAGTTTGCACACATTCTGAAACAAGCTTATAGAATGGAGGTAATTTTTAAAAATAACTTGTGAGAAGTGGGCAGCTTCAGAACTGTGTCACCACTTGCAGCTTTGTGTTATTTCTATAT